TTCTTGGCTGTGATGAAACATAGTTTCTTTACCCTTGGCTTTTCTTCCTGAGGACTCAGTAGGGTGGAGATGGTGAGGAATGAATTGGTTGAGAAGGACTTTCTAGTCTTGGGTCAGTTACTCATTCTTCCTGTGGGACCTTATGAGAGGCACTAGCCTATCTGTACTCCCTACATGGTCATGCCCATTCCTTCCTAAACCCATGTTGGAAGTTCTCAGGTGAAGGGCAAAAGGGTCCCCAGACAGCTAAGATGCCTTGGCGGTCCTTCTGGAGGGTGGGGCCGGTGTTAGCCATTCTGCCCCACTGACGGGACAACTGAGGGTGGAGAGGAGCTGCAGGAATGGACAACTGACAAAGCTCAGCCCCTCCCTCATCTCTAGCTCCCGGTCCTCCCCTGGCTCTCCTCACAGAATTCTTCCTTCCCATATCTCTGAGCAGGACAAGGGTGCCAAGGAATTTGCTCTACTATCATCTCGGTTTGCAGTGTCACCCCAGTGTCCCGTCAAAGGGTTGGGGGCGGGGGGAGACTGGTGCCTTACTGAGGCTGGCTCAGGATGGAGCCAGAAGGAGAAAATTCCTTCTGAGGTTAGATTCTCACCCTCTCCATTTCACCAGAGTTCCTGCTTTTCCCCAGGAAGCATGTTTTGGCCCCAGATAAGGCTTCCGCCTCTTGGACTAAATCAACCCACCTTCCAGGGGTTCGGCTTCCCTCCAGCCCTGTTGGCCGGTGCCCCCTCCCTAATCTTGGGACCTCTCCTGATGCTACCAGTCTCCTGTGTCCTCTCTCACTGGCTCCTTGTGTTGGTCCCCAGTTTTCCCACCACCATCTTTGGGCAGAAAGTCACTAGAAAGACGCAGGTTTAACTCTATCATTTGCTAGGTGTGGGATCTTGGGAAAATCAGCCTCAAATCCCTCATCTTCAAAGTGGGATGATACCATCTACCCACAGAACTGTTGGAAAGGCCAAACGCATTGGGTGTTTGAATGTGCTCTTTTAGACACAAGTGGCACTGTCATCCCTTCCGCCATGAATTCCTGTGATAGAAGGGAAAGCCTCTTGAGGACATGGACTGTTTCTTCATCTTCTTGAGCCCAGGGTCTACCCTAGCGTGCTCCTTGGATGTTGGTTACGGGACTACCAGCTAGTGTTGGAGAGGAGGATCAGAGGTAAATGGAGCAAGGAGGCTGTCGGTGTCCAAGGGGACACAGAGAAGGCAACTGGAAAAAAGGGACTAGGGAGGGGCTGAGGGAGATGCGGTAGAGAGGGAGGGCTTAGCTCTGGGGAAGCCTTTACACAAATGCACGACGTGGAAAGTGATGGCAGAGAATTTGGAAAAGCAGAACGTGTACGCTGTTTTCAAGATTCAGCTCCCAGAGATTATCCAGCTCAAATCCAAAGGTCCCGGTGTGGAAACACTTGCCTAGTAATCTGGGCAGAGATGTAATGGCAGAGCCAAGATAAGAATCCAGAGGAGTCAGGCCCAAGTTTGGTTCCCGGTTCAAAGCTGTACAACCCTGGGCAAGTCAGTTTCTCATTCTTTTGCCACAGTTTCCTCCTTGATAAAAACAGGGATCGTAAGAATGAAATGAGATGATGCACGTGAAATCCTAGGCACACATCCATGTGCCCAGGTACGGGGAAGAGGCTGCGTGAACGTGGCTGGACTTTCTCTCCCTTAACCCATGCCCAGCGTGTCTGTCCTCTGCTCTGTTTGAGGCTAGTCTGTGACCCGTGTGGTCAAAAGTCACAGGGTTAGCTGTGTGAGTGCTTGGGGTTTGTTAGTTACAGACGCGGGGGCTTTCGAAATGTGGGTAAGCCTGCATATGCTTATCAACCACTCAGTTGAGAACAGGGAAAGAAAATGTTGTCAGTCTCAAGAATGAAGGAAAAATAACAGGGACATAAAAGAAAGGATAGAAAAGCTGATGATTCAGAAATCTAGAAACTTGGCTCCAGTCCTCTGGGTGGGGGGGAGGGGGTAAGGGTGTTGGGAAGGGGGACTGAACAGGGGATCAGGAGTTTTTCTGGACTCTAGTGCTGCCACAAAGACACTCGGAGGCCTTGGGCAGTTAGTTCATCCTCTGTCCGTGCCTCAGCTCCTTATAAGCAGGAGGAAAGGGAAGAATGAATGAGCTGCCTGCCAGGTCTCTGCCAGCCAGGAGATCTGTGTCTGGACCTGAGAACGCCCTCCTTCGCAGTCCTAGCCTGTGTGGATGGGGAAATGACTTCCCTTTCCCAGCTCCCAGCCCTTGTGCCCCTTGGGGATTTCACACAACACAGAAGGTGCTCTTAGGGAGCTGGGGGTTTCTAGGTCACCTTTTGTTTGTAGTTCCTTTAAAACTCAGAGACAAACCACCCCCTAATTCACGCACTGCTGGGAAGGGGGATCTGCCTTTTAAAAATCCAAAGGAAGCCATTTAACCAAGTTGGTAACCATTGTGACTCATAATAAGCTTTTCTCTGTAAAAAAAAAAAAAATGAGTCAGAATGACTTTCCAGGAAGTTTGGTTACTTTAATTAGCTACCTCTTTTTTCTTGCCCTTAAAAACATACAGTAATTTGATGATCACCTAAGTATGGATGCTACCAGCCACGGCGCTGAGTCCCTAGAAGTGAAGAATCTAGGGGTGGAGAAGTTCCAGACAGCACAGAGCATGGACTTCTTGGTCTCCTTGGAGTTGAGGAAGACCCACACAGAATCCTTTCTTGAATGGGAAACGAGAAAAACCAGCCTCTGGGGCTGACCCACTTGGCCGCAGTGAACAGGAAAAGGGCATTATCCCAGCTACCGAGGGCCCCCAAGTGCTTAGCAGCGATGCTCCTGTAAACTACAGAATCACAGGATCTTGAAGATGTCATTAGACGGGATGATGTTCACAGCTGCATCGTGTCAGGCAGTGTGCTAAGGGCTCTAAACGTCACCTCAGCTACATTAATTAACCCCCCTCTACAGAAGAGAAAAGGCTAAACTAACTTAGCAGATTGTACAACTGGTGAGCAGCTAAGCTGCGATTTTAAATCCATACCCTTCGAAGATCATCTGTTCCTGCCTCCGAAGGAGGCAAAGTGGCTGGGATAAGGTCACATACGGAACTGGGAGTAGCTCTGGGATGGCACTCATTCCCAAAGTGCTAGTTTATGTCTGGATTCTTTCTCCTTCAACTTAGTCTATACATAGCTCCCAGAGTTCCAGATAGGAGGCCAGAACATGAGCAGATCATCTCTTAACACCTTCATCTTCCTAACCCCCACCCAGGATCTGAACTCGCTCTCTCTCCTGGCTCACCTTTTAGGGTTCCATGTAGCTCCTTCCCACTCCCAACACGGTTACCCTGACTCGGTCGCTTAACTAGTCACAGAACGCCCGTGCCAGCCAGCCTGCTAAGTGTGGTCTTCTTCCCACATAGGCACTCTCCTAGCTGTGTCCCCACACACCTGAGGTAATAGACCTGGCCCAGGTGGACAGAACTGGCTCCAGCCAGCCTGCTACCAGGAAAGGGCAATCCAGCTTCTCCTGATAGTGGATTCTGGAGTCTGAGTCTTCTCCAGGGAAGAGTGTCAGAGCCGAGACTGCCTATCCCTCTCCAGCTGAGCTGATTTTCTTTTCTTTTTTTAACAATTTTATTTATTTATTTTGAGATGGAGAGACAGAGAGCGAGTGAGCAGGGGGAGGGGCAGAGGCAGAGGGAGAGAGAGTATCCCAAGCAGACTCCACACTGAGTGCTGGGCCCAACGCAGGGCTCAGTCCCACAACCCTGAGATCAAGACCTGAGCCGAAATCAAGGGTCAGATGCCTCACCGACTGAGCCCCCCAGGCACCCCCAGCTGAACTGATTTTAAAACCTTGCTCCTGTTCTTCGGGTTGGAGGAAATTTTCTTCTCAACTGGGGAGAACAAGTGCCCCCCCCTCCACAGACCCTCAGTAAAACACACTCAGCAATTAAGTCAATTGAAAAATGAGGGCAACTGGCCCGGAGTCTCCCAGCTCAGCTCTCCCTACTCACAAAGAAAAACACAGAACCTACGGCTCTAACATGTATTGCTACCTGTGCAATAGGGTTGTTTTAATATTAAATTGGGGGGCAGAAAAGTTTATGGTAAGTGTATCCTGAAGATGCCCTCCACAGAACCCCCAATTATCTTGCCCCTGACCCAGGCCTCAAGAATGGGATTAGACTGCACCTGAAGACTTGGGAAAAGAGTTTAGCTCTGGGGGACATTGATTCTCTTCCACTTCTAATTTCTACATCTCTAATGATCCAGATGAAAGACTAATTGAGGTCTTGTTGGAAGGCTATTAAAGTTATTTGGTGGTGTTACAATTTATACTCATGTTTCTTTAAGTTCTTTTTAATTATATGGAGCTTTCAAAGCAAAGCTTGGACTACGGAGTTAAAAGCAGAGAGCTATGAAACTTTCTTCTCAATTCTTTCCTGCCCTCTTTCTCTTCTTTACAAAGCAAAGTCATCTTCCAGGCACCGAGCCTTTCTTTCTGGGTCTATTTACCACCCACATGCATGTAATTTGGAAGAGGAAGACTTGCGCACGGGCCTCTTTGGCTGGTTCCTTGAGTAGGCCTGTTGAGAAATCTGGGGTTAAAAGGCCTTGGTCCCCATCTACTGAAGACACACAGTGCTTTCCATCAGTCAGAGCGGCTAGGACCACAGCCTGCTGCTTCCACGGGTGTTGGAATGGCACATCAAGAAGTTGATCTCCCTAACTTTCCTGTTTCCATTTTGTTTTTCAGGATCTGGCCCTTTCCTAGCCTAGTTCCAGGGATTTTTGTCCCCCTCTAGACCAAGATCTACTGTTCAAAGCCTCCAGGGTCACATCCTATGTCTCTAAGGGAATTCCTTCATTGCCTAAAACCCAGCTTTGGGGTTTGATTGGCTGAAAGACTGAGCAAGACAAGATACCGCATTGTTCCATGCTGATTTGCAACAACGCGCTCCCACCCGTGCTTTCTTGTTTCATTCCCCAGAAGAGAAGACCCTTACCTGTCTCCACCTGGCTGAGGGCACTGCGAGCATCCGTGGAATCTGCCACATCCCCACTCATCTTGATATCTGCAGGGAAAACACAACTGATTTTAATAACAGGTCACAATTTTTCTTGCTATGACATATGTGGCTTTAACTAAACAGCAAAGATGAATGTGTAATTACAACAACCATCAGACTTTCAAATTCCTGATTCCCGAACATACAACCATTAGAATATTCATAAGCTCAGGGCACAAATCTCCTCCTCCCAGGCTTGCCTCCTTCCCCTAGCCTTTCTTTTCCCCTTCTCTGCGCTACTGTGGGATCTCTCACCTTTTGCATCATTCATTGTCACTTCCTTCGATCACCAGGCTCAGTTGGTAAAAATTTAACAAGGGGAGGGGTACGGCGAGGTGCGGGAGAATGCTTCCCATTTTCAATCCTCATTGCCTTTGGGATTTGGAGGATTTATTATTATTTTTTAAGTTAGCATAAGAAATATCCTTCTCCCCTCCCCCGCCCCCGGAATAACCCTACCCTGGGAGGTAAGAGTACCCTTGAACCCAGGCTTGTCCTTCTCACCTTTCTTGCCCAATTCCTGCCCTTGTTCTCTGTCTGGTTCTCAGTGGTCAGTCCACTGTCTGGGGATCAAATCCTAGCTCCTGTGTGGCCCTCCGGAGATCTTTCTCCTCTGGGGATCCTTACCTTCTTTCCTACTCCTTCAACGTGCTCAGGGAGAAAGGGATGGTGGGCGGGTCAGTGCCCTGCAGAGAGAGAATACCTACACCAGGCCCGGTCTCAGCCCCCTAGTGCTGCTGGTCCGGCCTCGCTGCCCTGCTTCATTTCAATAAATTAAACATTTACCCCTAACAGACAGCTGCCACAACCTAAGAGGTCCCTAAGTCTCCTCCAGGATCAGCAGAGAGAAGCAAAGAGGCAACTTTGAACTAACTCACTCTCTCAGCTCCTCTCCTTATTAAACCACCCAAATACTGAAGCCGTTAAAGACAGAAGAATATTTTATTCAAATCGCCTTGACCCCCCCAACCACCACCCCCATCCTCTTCTCTGGGGCAGCACTTTAACTCTTTCAAACCAGATAAAGTCTTGGTGAGGCAATTTGCATACCCGGCTCCCCAGCCAATCCCAGTTAAGCATGCAGCCTTAATTTGCATCAGGTAATCAGGCAGTTGGCAGGTCTGGAGATGATCAGGATGAGGGAAAAGGGTGGACCTCCGCCCCAGGAAAAGCGGGAAAAGCGGGGAGAAACCTACATACTTTTTTTTTTTTTTTTTTTTTTTTTTTAGGGCAATGATGTGTGTGGCTCTGGCAGAGATTTAAATTATGGCCCCTGGGGGTGTAGTGACTGCAGTGCGGGAGAGGTGACTGCCATGTCAAGCAAGACAGAGACAGGTTCAGAGGCTCTCCAGCTCTTCGAACACCCCAGAAGCAGAGGATGGAAAAAGCGACTATGGGAGCCACTGTGTTTTGAGGAATATTTCTGATACCCACCCAAGTGATGACTCCCAGGTAAATACTTGGAGCTCCATGTCCCGCACAGTCACAGACCACTAGGGGAGACCTTGCAACCACACCTCACCACGTGTCCCACTGTGCTACATTTAGGAAGACGTTTCTTGAGCCTAACCTAAGTCCTTCCTGCTGTAGTTTGAAACTTTCTGTATAGTCAGTCATGTGTGAATATGCAGAACTAGTGTGGGTCACCTGGACACATCTGCAAAGGGCTTCAGCTGTTGCTTACCTTTTGCTCCTATGGAGAAATGGGCTTTGCTCTGTACGACCCCTGGAGCTGGGCACGGCCTAACACAGATTTGCTCAGCTCCCGCTTCCCCCATAGGGATTCTTCAACGGTGCTGAGGAAAAAGGCAGAGACTGGCCCCTCAGTTTTCTAAACGGCCTCAGTAGCATCTAGAGTGGCCTCAGAGCATTGGTTTTGGTGGCCAACAGACCTCGATTTAATCCCAACGCCATGGCTAACTATCAGGGGACCCTGGCCACATATTTGAACCTCAGTTTTCTCATCTAAAAATTGGGAATAATGAGGGGGTCCTGGGTGGCTCAGTCGGTTAAGCATCTGCCTTTGGCTCAGGTCATGATCCCGGGGTCGCTCCCTGCTCAGTGGGAAGCCTGCTTCTCTCTCTCCCTCTGTCTACTGCTTCCCCTGCTTGTGCTCGCTTTTTCTGTCAAATAAATAAATAAAATATTTTTTAAAAATAAATTTAAAAATTAAAAATTGGGAATAACGATACTTCCTGAGTTCTTTTAAGGAGCAAACAGAATACTGAATGAAAACCGCCTGGCTCATTTCCTGGTGCAAAGTAAGCTCTCAATAGAAGAATGAACTAAACAGATACTTAGGCTTCTCTGTTAGTTCCCTTCTGCCATAACAAGAAATAGCTTTGGTTTTCTGTCTCAGTGCTATCATAATTTGTCTTTTACCTGGGAAGCCATAGGCATTCTCCAAATTCTGACTTCATGAGGGAAGAGCTCATGGGGACAGTATGGGTTTAAGAGCAGTAAGGCTGGGATGATGACCAGATTCTCAAATCAAGTTATTTCAAATTCCTGACATTTAAGAAGGGTAACTGTTTAGCTAAACCACAATTTCATGCCTGTAACCCAGACTCCCTTCTGACACCCTTTCCCTGCATTGCCTTTAAATATAGCCAAAAGCCATCCCTCACTCAGCCTTTGAATTAGCTTAAAAGGTACTCCTAATCATGTCTAAAAATGACTTTTGAAGGAGGCAAAGGCCCATACTCTGCCAGGACAGCTTCTCCTTTGATGTACCCATTATGGGATCGACATGGTGACTCCCTGGGATTGGACAGGGATTGGAGCCTGAATGGCGGGGCAGGCTGTGATGATCTATAGAAGCTCTTCATGAGTCCCACAGGATGCTAAGACACTGAGAACCAGTTCTTGTGGGTAGGAGGCTGAGGCTGATGGGTGGGACGAACTCTTGGGTCTCAGCCTAAAAATGGGCCAACACCGAAACTCCCCAAGATGCCATAGCCTTTTGCCTGTCCGACAGCACTTGCCAGGGGTGAGTGAGGGAGGTGTGGGGTGGGGCTAGTCTTCTCGGCTCTTATCTCGGCAGGCAGGCGACTGAGTAGGCTCCTTGCCATCACTCCCTTCCCTGGGGAGGCCTAGCTGCTCTGTGTAAGATCCCAGGTACCAGACACAGACCCTCATCTGCCTCACTGGCACCATCACACTCTGAAGCTGGGGCAAGACCTGCTGACCTTGCCCTCCCTGTGCCTTGGCATGACCCAGGAGCAGCCCCTCTTCGTACATCTGTGTACAGGATGTGTGTGTGAGCCTGAAGGACAAAAGTCCGAGAGGAAGCGTCTCCCCCAGGCTGCAGGCTGAGTGTCCACAGTGTGCTGAACCCCCAGGTCCAGGCTATGCCGGGGCCGGGGGTGGGGAGAAGCAGGGAGCCTACCCTTCTCTCTCCTACCGTCCATCTCTATCTCTCTGAAGGGACTGGAGCTCCCTCCTGACTTCTTCCTCATATGCTCACCAATGGGGGCACTTCTACCAGTAGGAAACCAAGGGGCCCACCAGTCCTACTTCTGAGCTAGTCATGAGTCCAACTGTCTCCTGGAATAGACTTCTGTCACTTCTTTAAGATGAAGCCACTTCCTCTCACAATAAGACCTTCCAACCCAAATGGCGTTCCTGAGCTGTAACTGGTATCAGTCTGTGAGACTTGATCCCAACCTTGATAGGCAACTGTGAGGAGAAAGACAGAAAAAGAGCTGCCCTGGGGCCAACCAGGTGTTCCCCAACGGCCAGTTTCCCACTGTTTTCCTCTGTTTGTTTCCCTCCCCAGCTGTCTGTCTGACTCTTGTCTACCCCTTTGCCTGTTTTTGACCCGGGAAGTAGGGAGGCCCCCCCCACACCTTGGCTGGGGTGCCCCTGTGTCTGGTGACCTCATGCCTGCTCAGGTGTTCATGCTCCTGGAGAGAAATGCTCTATAAAGTACAAAGTGCCCAGACCCCAGGCCGACCTGAATCATGGCTTGCACCCAGGTCATCGAAGTGGAAAGACGGGCCGACTCGGGGGCCACAGAGCTAGTGGACCTGAGTGCGGGACCCGGCGCGAGCCTGTGCCCTATTTTGTGTGCTCTTTTCCTCACCCAAACTGTTCCAGTAAAATCAGTTGAGGAGGAGTCCCCAAGGGCCCAGGACTGGAAATTCACAGAGAAAGTGCTGTTTGTGAAGAAACAGCAAGACACAGAATTACTGTGGGGCGTGGGGTGGGGTGAGGGGAGGTAAGACTCAGAAGAGACCAAATTTCCACCAAGAGGATCCTGGACTGAGAGACCCTAGAGAGGGACCTGTAATGAGACACTCCACAGAGGGACCCTCCACTGCAGGGCCCACACTGAAAGACCCCACAGGATGACTTCAGACTGAAAAGCCCGAGAAGACCCAGCAAGGAGAACCCTCATGTGGAGACCCAGTCAGAGAGATCCACAGAAAGTCCCAAGCTGAGAGATCCCTCTGAGGTGCCACTAAAGGGGAACCAGACACCACTGAGGGGCTAAAACTGAGAGCGCCCTCAGGGTGGTGGTACAGGCCGACTAAAGCAGTGGGCTGGGGAGGGGCAGGAGGTAAACGTGAACCGCTGAGTCAGGCAACCCACCCAAGGTAGATGGGAACCGTATCTTGGGTTTAGCTCGATCTCCCCTTTTGCATTTGGAGCGAGGAGATGGTGAGGGAGGCGTCAGCCTGGAGCTTCCTCCGAGGCTAGGGTGTGGGGGGGGGGGGCTTGGCCCTCTCAAAGCTCTCCTCTCTGCCAGATCTTCTTAGCCCCTAGGCATTTCCCTGCTGGGTCCCAGCTGTCCCACCTCCTCCCACTTCCCCTAGAGCCAGGAGCCTCCAGGAGACAATGAAGTGGAAAACCCCTAGGAAGTCTCTGATCTTGTCCCGAAAGAACTTCCCACTGAGGGCCCACCTTTCTGAGGTCTTGCTCCCATTCCAGCCTAGGCCTTCTTGATGGGAAGTGAAGTGGGGAGAGCAGGAGAACAAGCCCCCAGGAATGCCCAGCTCCATGTTGGCGCCACAGGGTCTGGAAACAGACTTTCTCCAGATATTGGATGACACACAGCTGGATGCTTTCTTTGGCCTCACCTGGCCCTCTCTGGCATGTCCTGGCACCTGGGGATCCACGCAGAGTCAAGATCTCTCTGTGAGCCTGACTTTCATTCAGCCCTGCCAGGACCGTGTTTGGGGAACTTGGGGACCCTGGGTCTCCTCATGCACCTGCTGCTGCCTGTTTTCAGGATTGGTGGGACCCAGGAAGGGCCAAAGCCTCCAGACTGCTCTGTTCCTTGGGGTGGGTCTGGAAAATTGCCTCTGCTCACTCTTCCTCCCTACTCCTCCAGAAAGGAGAGCAGGTACACAATTCCCATCGACAGCCCTGAAATCCTAAATAAAAGTTATGTGGTGCCGCCCTCCCTCTATGAGAGGCAAACTGCTGGTTTGAAATGGCCAAATCAGTTTTAGCCTTCTACACCTTGAGTCTGTTCTCCACTCAAACCCTCAGACCTCTGGAAGGCCCACCCTAACATCAAACGTGACCATTCAGGATCACCAGCACCTGCCCCAGCCCATCTGTGGAAGGATGGATCAGCAGGGTGAGTGGAGGGGCCTCGGTTCACGCCATGCCCACACACCATTCACATAGGGGAAAGTGACTCCTGGAAAAGCATTTGCATCTCCTAGCTTCCTTCCCCTGAAGAAAGGGGGGCTTGGTATCTGAATCCATGGAACAGAGGGCGGACCTCTCACCAGCCCCTCTGAGACACAGAAATGGAGGCATCTATAGTACCACCAGTATCCACAGAGCCTGTGGGTAGGCACCCCATCACACGTGGGGTCTGCTCCACCTTCCCCCCCACACACACGAGGACAGTAGACTCATCTCTTGATACACAGGGACACATGTTTCCACAAGCCCTAATCAATACATTGCACCTGCCCCAGGTGTGTCTCTGTAATTGCCAGGCCCCACTCGCTTCTCCTAGCGCCCCCCCCCACCAGACCTTACAAATGCCCACTCTGCCTCCACTTCACATAAAGGACCGAGACACAAAACACGGAACATGTGGATACAAGTATTTTCCTCACTTGTGCACTCCCAGGTCCACACCCCTGGCTGAGTGAGTGAACCACCCTTCTGCGATCAGTGAACAGAACAACTTCAGCCAGACTACAACAGCTCAGCACGCCCAAGTCCCACACATCTGCCACTCTCCAGATTGGAGGCTTCAGAAGCCCTCCCACCCCTTACCCCCGTAGTCCCCACCTCCATTCTTTTCCAGGGTCCCCCAACATCCACCTACCCACGCCGCCCGCCCCTGGGTGACCCGCTACCCACACTGCCCTCTCCTGGTTGCTGGGAGAGCGGACACCCGCCCCCCCAAGAACGGTGCCCCTCTCCTTCGCCCCTTCGCCCCTTCTCTGACACCTGTCAGCGCTCACTCCCTCCGCCCCTCACCTGTGTGCATGGGCTCCAGATTCACCATCCTGCCCCAGGCGGGGCCAAAGCCAGCGCCCCCCCAGGCCCCTCGCGACTGCCCCAGCCGGGCCCCCTGGGAAGCCAGGGTCTCCTTCCTCCCGCCCCTGGCCGCCGCCGCCGCCGCCGTGGACGCCGCTGCCGGGGCCGTCGCCGCCGCTGTCGCGCGCTCCGCTGCTCCCGCCCGGGCAGCGCTCGGCACGGCCAGGATTGCCACACTCCCCAGGTGAGCACGCGGCGCGGCGCGGGGCGGGGGCCGCCGGCCACGCCCCCCTGGCAGGGCCCCCGCGCCTGGCCCCGGGCCCATGCAAACCAGCGATTTGCATACGGGGAGCTGGGGACCTGGGGAGGGGGACAGGGGCTGCTGCTGCCGGGGCGGGTCCCCACCCTGCGGAACACCTGTCCGCTCTAACCTGGCCGGGCAGCCTCTCCCTAGGGCGCCCACAGCCACCCAGACTCCTGGTCCAGCTCGCCCTTTTTAGGAACCCCTGATGGATTCTCCAGCCAGGGCCTGAGCTGCTGCCTGGACAGACTCTCAAAGGGTAAGCGCTGCAAGGAGTCTAGAGCGTTTAGAAAAGCCGTGGGGGTGTTCTGGAAAAAAATCTGGCTTTGGAGTCCTCTCTCTCCACCACTTACCAGCTGGGTGACAAGAGCCAAGGCTTTTCACCTTCCTGCACTCGGTTTACTCATCTGTAAAACGGGCGGGTGCTCATCACGACTGGCATCTATCTATATGCAGTTTAGCAGGTGGCCAGACTCACCTAGCCCCCCGCTCCCCCCCAACGTGCTCACAACATCCTGGGAGCTAGATGGGGCCCAGCTTATTATCCCGTTTTCCGGTGATGACATTGTCCCCTGCCTGTCTTCCAGGTCCCAGGTAGCTCTGAGTTTCTATGAGAAGATGATGTGAAAATTATTTACCAAGGTCAGGGATTGTGGGGACAGCCACCTGCCTCATCTACACAGGTGGGAAGGGACTCGCCAAAGGCATACCATTTCCTAGCGATGGAGCCTGACTCAATCAGGTCTCTGGACTCCCACTCCAGTGCTCTTAGTAGCATCCATCATAGACTCATCATCTAAGCTCCCCCCACTCTTCTCCTCCATTCTTTAGGTCCCAGGAAGTGGTGCCAAGGCCAAGGGCTTACCTGTCTGTAAGCCCAGAGAGCCTTGGGCTGACACGAGCATAGGACCTTGCCCCCTCCTTCCAGACAGGTGTTCCTACCTTCATCTTAGTCTCAAGGACTCTTTCCGGCTCACAGAACAGGTCCTGAGCTTTTCTGCCTCTCTGCCGTGTTTACGGGTGTTCTTTCCATCTGACACATTTCCCACCCCCCACCCCCAATGATCCCTATTATAATATCCAGCATTTATTGAGCTCTCGCTCTGTGCCAGGCACTGTGCTAACCAACACTTTAAAGGCTTCCGATCTTGTCTAGTCCTCATAACAACTCATAAATGGGACTCCTATTATTCCCACTTAACAGGTGGGTAAAATGAGGCTTAGAGAGTGGAACTTGCCCGGTGTTGCACAGCCAGGAAGTACCAAGGCTCCTGTTCTGAAACACTGCACGTTACTCCCTCTGCACAGTTCAAACGCCACCTCCTTTCTGGAGTTGGAAATGATCTGATCTTTTACTAGATTAGCATAACGCTTCAGTGTGCTTGGTAGCCCTTGTGGTGGCTTCCATGGGACTTTTCTTACCCTGCCTCCCGGTCGTTAACTAATTGGCTGCCTGTCCTCAGTGCCGGGACACCCAGGCTTTGGGGGAGGGCTCAGTGGGTGCCACAGAGGCCGTGGAGGAGTAGGAAGTGCCCAGTAAGTCCCTGTTCGGATTCATACGAACCACCTTCCGCCACTCACATCAACACTTCTTCCCACTCTTGGCAAGAGGGAAGAGGACTTTCCTCCTGATTCTTTGGCTGGGGGAGGAAGTGATCAGTAAAGGCTTCTTGGAGGCCCCCGGAACCCAGGGATACCTCTCAGGACACCTCTACCCTGTCCCTTCCTCCCACCCCCTTCTCCCTCCTTCCCTTCCTTCCACCACTCCAGGTCTGGCTCCTTCCCTGAGGTACCTTTCTTATCTACAACCGTATTTCGCCTACCATCATGCTAGAAAAATGCCTGCACACAGCTTATGTACCCCCGTATGCTCATGATTTCCATATGCCAATTTGCATAGCATCCGTGTGGCTGTGTACACCGAGGGTCTGATTCTCTGACCACCATATCTGGGACCTGCTGTTTCTCGTTTCATGTGCAGTTACCTTTCTTCTCTGGGCTTTGGTTTTCCAGAAGCCCGGGATTGGGGAGGGGGTGGTGGCATGTGACTAATGGTTTCCAAGGGTCTTCTAGTTCCAGCAGGCTAGGATCCTGGGGCCCTGGGGATGAGGTGGGGGCAGAGCTCTTGGGAATGGCGAACCACTGAGCAGAGGTGGGACCTTGAAGGTTCACAGTTGGAAGCACAGCTTTGGATTCCAGACAGGGGGTGGGAGGATGGGAGGGTGAGGGGGTGGGGGTGGGGAGAGGGTGACAGACATTACCTCACCTGCATCCCTGGACTCATTCATTCAATAAATATTGAGTGCTTCCTATCTGCCAAAGAGAGGTGCTACATGCTGGGCATGTACCCTCTTATTTACTCAGCACACCTTTAGAAGGAAGATACAATTTTGAGACTCCTTTTATAGACGAGGTTCAGGGAGGTTAATGCAACTAGTAGATGGCAGAGTTAGGAGTTAGAACAGGTCTGCCAGACTCCAAAGCTGGAGCTTTTATTTATTTATTTCTTATTTTTAAAGATTTTATTTATTTGAAAGAGAGAGCCAGAGACAGCGACAGAGTTATAGTAAGACAGAGCACAAGCGGGGAGTGGGAGAGAGAGAGAAGCAGGCTCCCCGTGGAGCAGGGAGCTCAACGTGGGGCTCCATCCCAGGCCCTGGGATCATGACCTGAGCCGAAGGCAGACGCTTAACCCACTGAGCCACCCAGGTGTCCCTAAAGCTGGTGCTTTTAATCCTACCCTCCAGTGCCTATGCTGGAGTCTCCCCTTCTCTTCTGTGATCATGTCACTCGAGGTGGAAGGAATCTAGACTATCATTCATAAGAGGAACCCAGGTCCACAGGGGGAGGAACTTGCCTCCCGGGGCAAGTGGATATAAGTCACATCAGAGCAGAGACCTTTCTGTTCTCCCTGCTCCTCCTTCATATGCTCTTCCAGAGTCTTAGCGGGTCGGGTGTGTTAGTGGCATGCAAATATGGGGCAATGGGCAAAGCCGGACAATCTCTATTCCTTCCCCCTCTGACTTGCTTGATGACCATTTCAATTAGATGCACTGAACGGGAGTGCAAAAGACCTCTTTATCCCTCCCTCTTTCCCAGAACTCAGAATCTCCATGAAACCAGCTTTTTGAGTTCTGAGCAGATGGGAGATCCCGGGGAAGGTGCCAAACCCTGGGCCTAATAATCCCTGTTCTCTGTTTGGCCTGGGAGAAGAAAAGCTGTGGGAAAGAGAAGAGATAGGAGGTTGCCTGGAGGTTAGAAAAGGAACAGAGGAAAGAAAGGGAAAAAGAAACAAGGACGGGAAATTTCATTGCCTTTGGACATCAAAAGAGGCCTATGCAAATGAAATGCAAATGAGCACTCCCTGCTTCCCTTACCCCCACCCTTTCTCAACAGCTGGAGGACTTTTTCAGAGAGTAGCCAAAACCTTACTCCAGGATACTGTAGTCCCCAAACTGTGATCAACTCTGACTCTGCTCCAGGTCCTCCTGGTCTTCCTGGGGTGACATCTGATCCCCTTGGAAGTCACTAGCTCCCGAGGCCCCATTTCTACCTGAGCAGGCCCTCAGCTTCTTTTGCTTCAAGGACAGAAGCCTCCAGGAACCAGCCTCCCCTTTCAGACACACTGCTGGTTGCACTATCTCCCGTTGAGAGAAGGTGCTTAGGGGAGGGAGGTGGGCCCCTGGCCCTGTTCTGCGCCTCGGCAAAGAGAAGTGGCCTTTTTGGCTGTGGGCCCTGTTGCTCACTCTCATTTCCTGTCATGTCAGCTGGATTGAGTTGTCAGGGTTGGGAGAAGGGTGGGGAGGGAGGCATCCTGGAAGGCCACCAAACAACAAGTCCCTTCTAGCTCCTTCTGTCTGCCAGATGGGCTGTAGGGCCCAGAGCGTGGGGATACGGGTTTGGGGTCAGCTCCCTGCCTTGGGGCAACCACAGGGAAAGGAATGGATCCCAGCTCAGGCTTCCCAAAAGAGCAGATGGAAGGAAAGAAGAGGCCAAGAAGAACTTGCAAGCCTCTTTTAAAATCACACCTCAGAGGCAATCTGATGGCTCCATTGCCAGGAGGAGTATTGCAGAATGGGGGTGGGGGGGTTAGCGTCAGGTGACAAAGTGAGAGGTGCTCTGGGAACCAGGATAAAGCCACTGTTTCTGGGGAGTGGACCAGAGAGGACAAGGGAGTCAGGACACTGAGCTATTCCGGGTCCCTGATGTCCCTAATGTTGAGTCCCCAACCCTGGACACGCACCCCCCCCCCCACCAATACCAACCCCTCGCTCACCTCTAGAGGGAGGAGTACACACAAACTCACTGCTCACTTGCACTTGAACATTCTGAAAAAAAGTAATGATACAGATTTGACTTTTTTTAAGACTTTATTTTATTTGAGAGAGAGAATGAGAGAGAGAGAGAGAGAGCACATGAGAGGGGGGAGGATCAGAGGGAGAAGCCGACTGGGATCATGACCTGAGCCGAAGGCAGTCACTTAACCAACTGAGCCACCCAGGCGCCCTACAGATTTGATTTTAAAACAGCACAACAACTGTCTTCCAATGAGCTTTTTTGGTCTCGGGGACTGCACTGGGCCTGGGTCTGGCCACTCTGATGACACCTTCAGCAGAACCCTGCCTCAGTCCTTTCCGGACTCTCGGGATCTACTTCAGAACAGGTAAGGCTCCAGGTCCACCCGCCTGCTCGGGGCAAGTCTAAGGCCAGCGCGCCCTCTTGCGGTG